CTAGAACAAAATCATTGTGAGGAAGTGTCCATCATTATCAAATGTATATTCTGTTAGATGGTACAGGTCATTGTTGGGCATGGATCATTATTGTACATATTATGATGCAGAGATGGGGAGTTGTCGTGACTCTACTGCTTTTAGGGATTGGTTTTGTCCATTCCTTTTCTTTAGTTTCCTTCTTTTCATTTTCTTCTTCTTGAGCTTATAAGCTCCTTGTAACGTGAGTCTTAACTCACTGTACCAAAAACACAAACATAGTAAGATTGGCAGCTCGAAGAGTCCTAACTCTTCCGTGAATTAGTTCTGGGCATTCCAGAGATACCACGTAAATCGGGGTTTGTGTTCTTCCTTCCCTAGATTAATCTGTTATTGATTTTCATGGTATCAGAGCCTCTGTCAATGGATTCCGATTTACCTACCGTTCGTCTTATCTCCACCAACTATTCTCTGTGGGAGTTTCAATTTCGTGTCTTCGTGGAAGGACGTGGATTTTTGGTATACTCTACGGCACCACTCCCCATCCGGAGACAACAGCTTCAGCACAAGAACATGCTCTTTGGGATCAGAATGATGCTAAGGTTAGGTCTTGGCTGCTCAACTCAATCGATCCTTCTACTTGTCCGAGTCTCTGTTTGTTTCCGACTTCCAATAGAATGTGGAGGCATTTGGCCGTCACATATTCCGTTGTGAACACTGCTCGCCAGTTTGAAGTACAAGTTGCTCTAGCCCGATTGGAGCAACGTGATCTCTCCATCACCAACTATTTTAATCTTGCTCAAGAAATATGGATGAAACAAGATTTATTGATAGTTGCACTTAATCCTACTCCAACTACTGAAGCCGCGCTGGCGGAACGCCAAAGCACTCACCTTCTGCAAATTTTGATGAGGCTCAGACCTGAGTTTGAGCTTGTTAGGTCTACTTTGTTGAATCGTGACAATCTGTAATTAAATAGTGTTCTGGGCCATCTTGTTCGCGAGGAAATGCGACTTCGAACCCAGGCGCAGTTTGACATTCGGCCGGGAGAAGGGGAGGCTGTGATTGCTGCCTCCGCATCTGATTAGTCTGCTTTTGCGGTCAGTAGGCCACAATTTCAACAACGTGTTCCCAACTCCGAGCTGATCAGTCACCATTGTCGAGAGAAGGGTCACGTTGTGAAGCATTGTCGACAATGCAACTATTGTGTCTACTGCAAGCGTCCAGGACATATAATCCTGGATTGTCGCACTCGCCAGCATAATGACGCCCGCGCGGGAGGTTCTGGAGAAAATGCGGGTCAGGTCGATCGTCCTTCTCGGCATGCATACACTGTCACCCCATCCGTAGCAAGCAGCTCGGGACTCTCAACAGCAGCAGTTGAGCAATTAGTTAATTAGCCCCTTCAAAAATCACTTCTGTCTGCCATAAGTGCAGCATTTGCGACAATGCAAATATCAGGTAAAAATTCTCCCTGGCTTCTAGATTCGGCATGTTTTAACCATATGACACATGATTTGGGTAAGCTTGAGAAGGTTGTTCCGATTAAAAATATGGCTTTGAGAGTAGAGAATGGAGAAAAACTCCAAGTTAGTGGAGTTGCCATGGTTAATGATAATTCTCTTCTCTTAAATAATACTCTACATGTTCCGGAATTGGTGCCTAATTTAGTTTCTGTCGGTCAGCTTACTAAACAAGGACGTTCTGTTTTGCTCGCACCCAATGGTTGTTTTGTTCAGGATCTGAAGACGGGGAGGCAGATCGGAAGGGGGAGTAAATGGGGACGAATTTTTCATCTAAAGGAACGTCAAGATCCCTCAGCATCATCTGCCATCTTGAGTAGCGGTAGGAACGTCAGTAGTCCGTCGTCAGTTTCTCGTGGTATTTTCTTACCTTCTAGATTTTTGAGTCAGTCAGAAAATAATTGGAGTCTTTGGCATTCACGTTTAGGTCATCCCCATTCTGATCGCCTTGTAATGATGTTTAGACAGTCTTTACTTGGCAAGTTTGATCCTGGATTTCAGCAAAACATTTTTGTACTAGTTGTGTTGAGGCAAAAACTGCTACTTCCTCTTTTCCTTTGAGCACTACTGTGATTACTGAGCCTTTTTACATTGTTCACACTGATCTTTGGGGACCCTCTCCTGTTCTATCTCGGCATGGCTATCACTATTTTGCTCTTTTTATAGATCATGCTACTCGATTTACCTGGATTTATTTTATACATCTTAAATCTGAGCTACTGTCCGTTGCTATTGAATTTTTGAAAATGATCCATGCCCAATAATGACCCGTACCATCTAACATATTCATCAATGAACTCAGTAGCCAAGAAAACTAACTGAGCTATTAACGATGTGGTTTAGAGGGAGTGAAGCTAATGTCAGGGAAATCTTTGACAATGTTGGACAGTCTGCACCATTCGTCCTTTTTTATGATGGGATCGATTCCATTGCAACTCATGTATAGTTTCTTTGTCCCTCAATTTCAAATTTTTTGTTGGACGTTAATTGTGCAATATTGTGGTTTTGAATCTCATTTTCAATTGTATACCATTGCAGAGAGTAAGCAGTGTTAGAGAAACAGATAGATCCTGATGTTAATGGTGTCACTACCATTGCAACTAGCATTGGTGGGCTTGCTCTTGCCGATGAATGAGTGCAAGTGAGAGGGAAGAGGATGTTATCTTTTCTGCTGCTGGACCATTCTTTCAATTGAGTTTTAGTGTTTACCTTTATGTCGGGTTTACATCTCAATTTAGACTACGTTTACAGTTGCTTACTTTCAATTGGTTAACTTAAACGACCTGCTATTGTTAATCCTTACTTGTCTCTCTGTTTCTGGATTCCATGGCGAATTTGAATTTGCCATCATAAGGATTTAGTCTCATACAGATATGGGTTGTTCAAGCAGCAAATCACCATGGAGGGCCAACAAGAAACTGCTGAAGATTCGCTCTTGGTTTGTCTCTTGGCACTGCCATCAGTGCATTGTTTGACCTATTATTTGATTGCAGGTAATTATGCTTTGAATTAGCAGGTAATTATGCTTTGAATTAGCATAAGAACATTTTAGATAGTTATTTACAGTGGTTGTAGTTAGTTCAACTAATTTTAGAATATTTTGAGTTAGTAGCTCCTTCTGAGCAGAGTCACTCCATATTTATCGAATATTTAGTAAATGGATACTATGAGATGAATCTCTATTTGCATGCCTTCCTATTGACTAGCAGTGACAACAACTAATCCCAAAGATTGGTGCATATGGGGATTGCTACACGCAATTTGCTAGGTTATATGGCTTGAGAGAAATACCAAAACTTTTTGGAAGATCAAGTGACACCAGCTGGGATAACTATTACACAATGGCTGGTGGCGGCAAGAAAAGTTGACAGAGACTTGGAAGGGGAGTGGGTGAATAATGTAATATCGTTTGCAGCAGGAATGTAAGAGAAGCAGAGAAAGAAGGACGGAGAATAAATAGAATGGAGTGGATTTATATGGAAAAGACAGATGATGATTATGAGTGAATGAGAAAAATAACAGGAGGAGATAAAGCTAATGTGCATTATAGGAATGAGCTTTTGTAAAGAGAAAACTTTGTATAGATTTATAGATTGATATGAGTTGATAGATCGGCAGAATAGTGGTAGTAAGTATGGTCTGAAATTGATACCATGCTCATGAGAGGGCACATCAACATTATAAGAAAAAAAAAGAGGTATGGATATGTTTTGCTCAATCATATAAAATGACTTCATATATTTCCCCCACTGAAACTGATGTGCAGTTATGACATACGTTGAGAGAAAATCTCAAGTTTTAGTGTTTGGCAATGTTTTGTAACCTGAAAATTATGGATGTCAGAATAGGATAGTGATTAGTTTATTCCTATACAATTCAAGTTGGGCTGATGTGAAATTCTTCCTTGCATAGGCAACAGTCGCCCTTATGTTAGGACAACGAATAGAAGGAGTAGCAAGTCAGCAACAGTAGCGGGCGGACAAAATTGGTGGTGGTAAACTTAGATGGAGAGAAACATTACGAGCTGATGCAATTATGCATGCTAAGGGAGTTAGCTGGAAGGTGAAGATTGCTTATGAAAGGACAACCAAAGAAAGAATAGGTGAAGAAATCCAAAGTTGAAATTGGAGATGTAAAACTCGAAGGTATGTTGCTTTGTTTTCAGCTAACCTTCCCACCAAATTGTTATTCTGTGCAACTTTGGTTCACCGTGTATTGATCCTAGTGTATATTGTTACTCATAAGGGTTACATAAACCGGTATGTGTTCTCCTTGCTTCAGGCACTTGCCTGTCACCTCCTGCTGACTTCCCTTGATCTGTGAGCTAGAGAGTGTTTATCGAAGGGACCAAAAGATTACGCCAATCAAATGCATGATTGTGGTAAATGGCAGTTCAAGTTGGTTGTTCAGTTGATGATTTGGTTATGGCCGCTCAAGAGCAGCATAATTGTGATAGTGACTCTGAATAATCAAGTATCTATGATGATGAGATGCCATAGAGAATGTAATAATTGTGGAGGAAGATGAGCTCGTGATTATTAAAGAACCAAAAATTGAGCTCAACAAGGACAAAACCAGGTAAAATCTCCCAAGCATATAGAGAATGCTGATGAGATGAAACAAATAACCTCAGTTATGAAGGTGAAGAAGAGAGCCATTGACCAACTGCTATTATTCTTTCGTTGTCTTTGTTTGTGTGTCCCTTCCTGTTCTCTTTTCTTTTATTATAATTAATACAAAATTGTTTGTCCAACAATCAGGAACCTGCTGCTGAATATGAGAAAGTGGATTTACCAAGTCATAAGTGCATTGCGATTTACTGTAACTTCTTCCTAATCTTTCTAATGTAGTATGAGGAAATTGGAAGTAAAATTGTTGTCTGAGTTGCACACTTTCACGGAATGGAGAAAGGTGATGTTAATTTCAGAAACAATTTTATACATTTCTAGCCCGCTTAAATTTAAACTCACACTTTCATCAAAAAGAAGTTTAAACTCAACACAATTGCCAGTAGCACAACAGTCTCCAGTTTGCCATTACCTAAACTGACCACAATACAATCATGCTGCCACAACTCTACCCCGCTGGTATTGATTCTAGTTAGTGAATAAAACTGAAACAAAGCTAGATGGCCATGGAAAGCTTCTCTTTGGCCATGCCACATATGTTAGTTGACGACTACTATGATCAATGTGGTCATATTCTTCTCCATATATCTTGTCAAATGTATGTAGTCTTCACATAAACAATCATAATAACTCCAACTAATCTTGTCTTGTTCAAGGCTCACGAGTTCGAAAGCAAACTGTCCAATTCATTAACTCTGTGGGACGCTCACGAGCTCCTTAGCAAGCTTGGTGAGGACTGCCATTCCACAGTCGGTTTTGATGGCGCTAGAAGCAATGTGTGACCTGCTAGCAGCATATCCCATCTGAAACAATATGTTTAACCCTCACATTCGATGGAAATGAAGGAGGCCTAAGATGGTACAGTTCTATTGCTATAAGTTGGATAGAAGGCATTGACTTAGATGGGGTTCCCTAGTCTCTAGCAAGATTAGTATGGACAAACCAAAAAGAAACAAAAATGCAGAGAATACCTCCTGCAAGGTGCGCATCAACATCCTCAATGGAGGGCCATTCATTTTTGCTCGTCTTGTCATCTGAAAATGGAGGGATCCTAGTAACTTGATGAGAAGGGAGGTCACCAAAGACAGAAAAAGAAGAGAGAAGAGAAGGTAGGATCGAACGAACCTCGTCCAGTTTGATGTATCCCGGTGGTAACCTTGGGTCACTTTCATCCAACATATGTTTCAAAAGCTTTTCAAGTTCAACTCCTGCTCCATTTCCCACCCATCCCCATTCTGCTGCTAAGTCCAGCATTTGTGTGATGCAGTCGGAACTATGGAGAGGGCCTATCCATAATGGTCCAGACACAACAAATCCCTGCCGAGATCCCTACATCAATGTCCATGAGAGACATTTGTGGTCATCTGCCACACCACGAAATTACATACCCTTGAGCTCTGAGCTCACTCGTAAGAATACCATGAAGGTCAACTATAGACAGATAGATACATACCTCTGAGTTACAGCAAGAGCAACCAATCTTGCCAAGCTCCTCCCACGAAAATGCTTGAGAATGGCCACAGCGGTTGCAGTAACCGATGAAACCATAGTCCCTATGTTGCAATGATGAAGGAGGGCGTGAGAATTACAAGCCATGGAAACCAAAAATAAGCACTGGTACGAGAGAGTTCCATTTTTCACTCCCACCTATTCTCGAGAATCTTCGGACGGTTCATTCTGAGCATGACCCTGAAAACTGGTCCATGGTACGCATAGTAAGAGAACAATGGCGTAACATGATAGCCTAAAACTGCCGCTTCCCTCACCGCCCCTCCAATAAGCATTCGCAAACCAATCTCATTCGCAAATGGCAGAGGACGAACAAATGCTCCATATGCGTCCAATGAACTACACAGAAACAACATTTCCGTCCCCAGTTTCAGCTACTTGCTATAGATAAGGAACACTGGAAATTCAGTGGACAATTGAAAAAGGAAACTGCTAGAAACTCACTGGCGAGGCCGGTGACCGCCAGAGGAGTAGCCATCAGTATTGGTGAGATAAAGCAATCCGCCCAATCTCAAAGCCAGCATTGCAGACCTGAGGAACATGGATTCGCTGCCAAACGAATCGATATCGATCAAGTCGAAAAAATCTCTCTGCAAATAACGCTCTGTCAAAACTCGATTCGCTTCCGAATGACAAACGACCCATCTCGTCTCGTCTCTCTCCACTTGCTTCAAATTCCCCACAATCAAATCCCTGTACTCGTCATTTGCATCGTTCGCCAACACGAAATCCGCCTCCGCTTCCATTAAGTACCGACACGACCGGATTCCGCAACCGCACATCGCGTCGAGCACTCGTAGGCCGCCTTTCGATTGCCTGTCAACCGAAGCGGCCAAAATGCCCAAGTCGCGCCCTGTGGAGCTTTCATGGCGATAGAAGGCTCCTCCAATATCAAATTCGATGCCCCTCTCAGTTTGGCGATTTGGGTTGCAGCAATTGACCTTCAAGATCCTATCTTTACACAGTACGATCGAGGTTTCCAATTTGGGGGTTCCAATAGGGTAGGGGGATAGGGTTTTCGGGAAGTAGCCATGGAGAGCTAACATGGTGATGGCGGGAACTTTGCTCTAGTTGTTGGGTTAGGTAAAATGGAATGGAGGCTGGAGCGGGCATTTTATTTGTCCGGACTGAACTCAGCCTAATCTTATATAAAATTTTGGCAAAATAAATTTGTATAATCAAAACTTTCGCGTTTGTGACAACAATATTCAATTTTAGAGAAATATTACTTATGACCAGAATTTCAAAAGTTTCAGGACAAATATAGCCATTTTTATTACAAACTTTATTAGTGATACTTACACAGTTAGTTATTTTACCGTATGCTAACTAGGTTGTCAACTCACCGCACACATCATTGACAACTCAGTCTTCAATGACAGGTGGATGTCACGTTATTTTTTAATTAAAATGAATTTTTAAACAAAAAAAAAATAAAACAAAATATGTCTTCCTCACAACTCTCGACTGGGTAAGACCAACTTTAGTGGAGGGCCAAAAATCCAAATATTTGGAACGAATGCACTTTAATAAGGTTCTTAGATGCACGACAAATAGTTCTAAAATTGTGGGACCCAAAAGGCAGGGGACGAGTGATGCGCGCCAACAAGGGAGATGAGATGCACGCGTAGCCGGTGTAGGTTTCTTCTTGTGCGTGGTTGCCACTGCTGCCCATGCATGGGTTTAATTGGTAGCTCTCTTAATTTGTAAATTTTTTAATCGCCTCTTCGTTCTCACTTCACCATATAAAAACAAGAACCTCAAACCTATTTAATTTGTACGTCTTAATTGAACAAGAATGATTGTATTTTAGTTAATTAGGGATAAGCAAAAATTAACAAAAGTCGTGCTAATTAAGATGGGTAGGAAATTTAATGATGAAATTTTTATGTTCAAATTCAAAAACAAAAAATATCGAAATGTTCGTCTTAAAAGATTATTAGTACCTATCTAAAAATAATGAATAAATTTTATAATTAGAATGATAAAATCTACATTAAACCGAAATATGAGTTAATGTCAAATTCTGAAATTTTGGACTTTTGGAACTATGCACTAATGCAAAAACACTTTTGGAGGGGCTAGAAGATTCTAGCCCCAAATTTTGGAACTTTAGAACCATGCACTAAAGATGGTCTAAGAAGATCCACAATTCCATCGACGACCTCCGCCATCCCCAATTCCATCTAAAGTTCTCACCACTCACCCGCCGTCGGCACTATCTTCATATGAAACTCATTGAACCGTCAGTGAGAGCAATTGATGATGTCGAAGGGACGGAGCAGCAGTTGATCTTCGTCTCTTCAGTAGGAGTCGAGAAATCCAGAGACCAAGACCCAAAAATCCAGAAACTCATAGACAAAAATCCAAAAATCCCTGCTGAGAACCTTCATCTTTGCCCTCCAATCAACCTTTCGCTTCCTGGGAGAGTAGTCGTCGCTTCCTCCCAATCGATTTGTCTTCTTCCTATTGCAAATGGCGACAATTCTTGGGAAAAATCCAAAACTACCACTGTTTTTTAAAAAATTACAAAAATACCACCCATTCCCAAGAATTTCTAAATCTACCACCATCCCCCATAACCGTGCGGGCAAGGGGAGGTTTGCCATTGGACAGCTGACAAAACGCGTCTCCACGTGGCAGTCCATGCAACCGCACGATGGGCAGGCGATCTGACAACCTAACCGCCTGCCAGCGGAGCGATCCGCGTCGCCCACGGGAAACCGTTGCCCTGAAGCGCGTTTTGCGCGTTGGGAAACGTAAACAGTGTGCAGGCGGCGCGGTTTTTGGTTGGATTAAAAGTAGGGGTGGTTATACGGTCCGGTCCGGTTAAATTGGACCAAATTTATCTGGTCCCAGTCTGGTCTTTTCGGGAATATAAGGACCAAAGATTGGATTGGATACAGTCCGGTCTTGATTCGGTCCGGTCTTGACCCGGTCCGGTCACAACTTGATCTTGATTTTAGGTGTTGTGGGTCTCTTATCCGGTCTTTATCCGGATTTTTTACCTCAAATCTAAGCGCGAGTATGAGATTGGATTGTTTGCTATCCGGTCCCAGTCCGGTCCCGGTCCGGGTTATACGATCCGGTTTTGGGTAAAACCAAACAGTCCGGGACCAAATAGCCAGCCCTAGTTAAAAGACCAAACCGCCCCTCCAGCACACGATTCTTTCCCTATATAAACTCACCCCTTCCTCTCATTTTCTGCACACCAAAACCCCAATCCCCTCTCTCTAAGTTTCTCACTCTACCCATCCCCCTCCCCACCCAAAAACCTTGGAAGTAGTTGTTTTGTTGGTTACGGCTAAGTCTGATCTGCCTTCCAAAAACTTTTCTTTGGTTTTCACTAAAAAACCGTCGAATCTCTATCCGGATCCTGAAAAAATGGTCAATTTTATCCAAGAAGAGGGTATTTACTATGATGATTATCAAGCGGTACGTACTCATTTTGCCCAATTTTTGTTGTTGTTATAATTGTTTATTTAATTTATATACTAGTTGATTTATGTTGTTTTTATGCTATCGTAGGTTGGGCCGGATATTGATATATACAATCAACGATATTATGTTGATCAAGGACCGATTGATCCGACTATTTTATACGATCAATACAATCATCGTTCAAGAGACGTTTGGAATTACCACAAGGTACATATTATTTATCATCACTTGTAATTTTATTTTGTTAACGTAATTTATTTGTTTGTACAATAAATTACTTAATTGTTAGTCGTATTGATTATTTTCAATAATTTAAATCAATACAATACAACACTTATTTAGACTCTCTATAAAGAAATGCATGTCTAAGGAAATGGGTTCTTAAGCGATCATCATGATCCTCCCATGATCTGGGAAAATCAGGTTCTAAGCGATCCTTGGATCCCCCCTTTTTCTGTCAAACAGACTGTGTTTCTAAGGAGATGTGTACCTCTCCTAAGAGTCTTACGAGTGTACTTGTATTGCTTTAAATTATTGAAAACAATCAATACGAAGTACAAAATAATATATTTGATTTTATGTGTATGTGTACAAAAATAATTTTACTTACATTTCGAAAATGATATTCATTTTAGTTAGCTTAATATTAATGTTTATTAGATAATGTATATTTCTGGGAAACAACCTTGATTTAATTAATTTATATGGTTTGTTATAATAGATTTATATATGTATAAATCATCAACTTATATAGTGAAAGTTAAATTCTTCTCTAGTATGCATACCATATAGTCCGCTATAGGGGTACGACGAATGTGCTTGAATGAAACGACGTCATCTTGCCCTTTCTATAAAGGGCAAGATTGGATCCGATTAGGCACTTTAATGGAATAAAGATCGACCGTCAACTCATCACATCATTGGTAAAGAGATGGCGATAGGAGACACATTGCTTCAATTTTCGTGAAGGCGAGTGCACCATCACACTTAAGGACATCGTCATCCTAACCGATTTGCCCATCGATGGCGATGTTATTTGTGTGGACTCTACGCCACCAGCTAAAGTTGTTGCCAATATGAGTGGTTGGCAGCATTTTATATGGACCATCACCGGGTTGTGTCCTCTAGAAAAGGGAGATCACGATGCGGATGGTAATCCACCATTGTCCAAGGGCCAAGTATCCATCACTTGGTTGACAGCGGAGATCAGGCGTAAGCACAACCCTGAGGTCAGAGGCATTCCCCTCATGGAGGAAAGTTCGGAGCGTGATAAAGACATTGATGCACGTATCTACATCCTCAGCATGATCGGAGGGGGTACCACGGGAAAGATGGTCGACAAGGATCTACTAATTGGCCCAAGGAGTTTGAAGAATTGAGCGATTTGTGGAATAATAGGAAAGATCTGGATATTGTGACGACATCAGCTGTGGGGCGGATGGGCTACCATGACCCATACATGGAAACATACCGAAGACAGTCTGTACGTTACATGACCCTCGAAGGTGCGGCGGACGGAGCTTTGGTAAGTAATTCAGTCATATTAATTTATTTATTTACTTTGAGCATCAACGTCCTCCTGAGTGGTAATGAGGAATTCCTCATTCCACAGCGACACGCCATGTATGTCGATACACCATACGATTAACTCTTCTAGTTCCATCCATGCAGGTAACCTCAGTGCACATTTGATGGAGCTCTTCAAGCATCGGTCTCGTACGGACCTTCATTTTATAAAAATTGCCACCCACGTAACTTACACCCTTTTCGGTCTCTTCCGTGTAACCATTCCACTGCAACCCAAGCGTGAACCTTTGGAATGTCATCTGCAATAAAACTGTAATTAAGTTACTAACATAAAAATCACAAATGACAATGAAAAGTAATACAAAACAAACTTACGAATTAACGTTAATCGCAAAAACTAAATAATTTAAAGGTGCACAACTGAAATTTGAAGAATAAGGAGTGGAGTGAATATTTTGAGTTTTCTGGACCTGCCTTTTATAGGCAAATTTTACACTACAAACCGCAGGGGGGAGCTGTTTTAGTCTGGCATGTAGCCCCCACCCCTGCAACCTCCTGCATGCCGACATGTCGGATGTCGGGTGACGAGGCACAAACCGCTGGGGGGTGCGGTTTATGTGTTGACATGGTAAACCGCTTCCCTGTGGAGCGTTTTACCATGCCGACACATAACCTCTCCATGAGGAAGCGGTTTGTGCTAGGGCAGCCTTGAAAACCGCTCCTTCGAAGAGCGTTTTTTCCAAAATAGACAAACCGCTTGCCGACCAGGCGATTCTATGGTAAACCGCCGCCTGGGTGGACGGTTTCTGTTTTAACCGCCCCTGAGTTGAGCGGTTTTTAATAAACAGTGGTAGATTTGGAAATTCTTGGGAATGGGTGGTATATTTGTATTTTTTTTAAACAGTGGTAGTTTTGGATTTTTCCCAATTATTGACAGCGAGTGCTTGTTTTTCTTTTTGCTTACATTGGAGCCGAGGAGGCAAGTGGAGATCAGATCCGATCCACCATTATAAACTCAGAGTGGCCAGTGATTTTTGCACGGCCAAGGCTCGGTCAAACACGACCGTTCAACAATCGGGCACTGCCCTACGTGGAACTTAAGTGAACCAAT